CCCCAGCTTCCCCTGCCCTCTCCAGTTTCCTGCAACAACTGTAGGCTTCTCTCACTCTGCAGCCAGGAGCAGTCACACTTCCTAGGGAAGGTAAGATGCACAAGCAAAAAGAATTCTTCGCACCAACCATCCGGTCCAGGCAGCATCAGAGCTGCCGTGGGTGGTGCTCCCAGGGGTGGAGCAGTGGAGGGCAGCAGAGGGTGGACATCCAGGGTGCTGGAGCTGCCCTGTTCCACCAACTCTAGCCTTCTTTCAAAGTGGGGGATCTGCCTTTTGACTGCCTGAAGTTCACATTCTTAAAAGCTTAGTCAAGGACTCTTAGAATCTGGGATGATAATAAAAATAACTCATGTTTATTGTGCTAGGCACTATTCTGCGTGCGTTAAATATATTATCTAATTTAGCCTTTACCATAATTTTTATTTTACATTTCTTTTTTCCTATTTACTCTATTTTGCAAGTGAGTAAACTGAAGCAGAAAGAGGTTAAGTTACTTGTCCAAGGTCACAAAGCAAGGAAGTGGTGGAGTTGAGATCTGAAACCTGGCATGTTGGCTCTAAGAGTATATATAAATATATTTTAAATTTTATTTATTTATTCAGAGCCTGTTATTATTAATTAATTAATTAATTAATTTTTTGGCCTTGCCACGCTGCTTATGGGACCTTAGTTCCCTGACCAGGGATCTAACCCAGGCCCCCTGCAGTGGAAGCATGGAGTCCTAACCACTGGACCACCAGGGAATTCCCATGGAGCCTGTTATTTTTAAGCTCGGTGCAGAACACCCTGAAGGAGGTCCACAGCACCCCAGCTAAGTAGCCTTTGAGCCTCTTAGTGACAGGAGTCCATTCCCCAGAGGGCACTCATTCCATCTTTTCATGGCTCTGATTGGAGGAAAGTGTTCCTTTAGCTTCCTCTTGTGGGTCTCTGTTGTGCTCTCTGGGCCCACATGGGGACACATGAGGCACCTCTGAGCTCTGCCATCCTTTCTCGAGTTGCCCATGTGGCAACCAGGGACTTCCGAGGACCTCTCCAGCTGTGCCTTGCAGCTGTGAGTCTGCCCAGCTGTGCATGTGGGAGGAAAGGCTTGTCTGGGCAGGGGCTTCAGCCTCCTCCAGCCACAGAGAAACACAGTGGTCTCTGAGACAGCAAGGAGCCCAGGTGGATGGTGGCAGCCTGCAGGCTGGACCTCAGGCAAGCTTCTCCTGCTCCCTGGGAGCGGGCCAGGAGCAGGGCCTCTGAGACAGAGCACCGTGCCCCAGGAAGCCAGGCTCTCTCACTCCTAGCCGCGCCAGGGCTCTCTGAGGGCTGATCCGCACCAGAGGGCTGCCAGTCCCTGGACTCCTTGGCCTTATCTCATTGGCTTGGAATCTGCTAGAGCAGGATCCCAATCTCTAATCAGCTGTCCCAGACCCTCAGGACAAGTATGAATTAAGCCTGAGCGCTTTTGCCCCAGGCACTGTGCTAAAGCTTTCTGTGCATTTTCTCCTTGCCTCAAAACAACCCCAGCAGATGGGAGTTACTCTTATCATCCGTGTTTAACAGATGAGAAAATTTGACATTCAGAGAGGTGAGGTAACTTGACAAAGGGCACACAGTTGGTAACTGCTGGAGCTGGGATTTGAACCCAAGACTGTCTTGCTGCAGCACTGTAGCTTTTAACCTCCACCCTGGACCACTTTCCTTCATTAAACAGGGTGTCCCATAGGTCTTAGTGCCCTTTGAAGCTTGACTAACTTCAGAAGTACGCTCCCAACTTATAAAACACATTTGAAAGTTCCATTATTCAAATTTCTTTTACACTTATTTAGCTTTGTGATTTTGATAACACATTTTTAATTTTACGCATTTAATTTTTGGTTAAGTCAGCATTTTTCATCTGTAATCAGAAGGACAGATCAAAAATTAAAACAAAAAATTTATTACTCAAAAGTCATAAGACTAAATATGCAGGAAAAAATTAATTCATTTCAAATGATGTTTTTGAGAGTTTACAGGATTTGTACTTTTGGAGTTATTCAAGCTTAAAAACTACTGAAACTTTGTGGGACATTCTGCATGTTCATGGATGGATGTATCCAAAGCCAATGACAGGCTGAGCTGTCTTCTGGCAGGAGCTATTCTCTAGGAGGTGCCCAGAGTAGGGCTCTAGGGACCAGGGGGAGGCAAACATGAGCATGAGACACTTAACCCCTTTCTCGCCAGCAGCTTGCCCAGGGCTGAAATCTGCCTGGGGGAATGGCAGGGCTAAAAATGGTTCTTGGCTAAAAATAGCCAGTCCTGCCACCCAGGTGGGCAGAGCCTCCGCCTTCCCTCCCGCCTTCCCTCCCAGCAATTTGCTGACTTGTTTTCTCCTCCTTCCCAGGGAGCTGCCATGGCAACGGGGAGGCCAGTCACAAATAATGGGCCTGGCTTCCTGCCTGGGCGGGCCCCAGAGGCCGCCCCTTACAGACACAAACCCCTTTCACAGGCTCCCCCTCAGGGTTGGCCAGGAGGGATTTTTTTTTTTTCTGCTCCGGCCCTGGTCCCTCCCATTTCCTGGCTCCTCCTGTCTGAGTCCCAGCCCAGCCTGTGCCTGGGAGTCCAGTCCTCCAGCTGGAATCCCAGCGAGCGCTCGGCTGCAGCCCGCACCGTTGCTGCCTGGGACTCGGGTTGGGAACAGGAGCCTGGGGTGCTCCCAGCAGACCGTCCCAGGCAACAAGGTGGGGGGCCCTACAGCGATGCTCCGAGGCATGTACCTCACGCGGAACGGGAACCTCCAGAGGCGGCACACCATGAAGGAGTAGGTGCCCCTCACCCCAGCCTTCACCCTCCCGGCCCTGAATTTGCAGCGGCTGAGTGTGCCAGGCTGACCGACCCCGTTTTCTGCTTCTGTCTCCAGAGCCAAGGACATGAAGAACAAGCTGGGCATCTTCAGGCGGCGGAACGAATCCCCTGGGGCCCAGCCAGCGGGCAAGGCAGACAAAGTGACGAAGTCATTCAAGTAGGTCCTCTCTGGCCCCCCGGGCCCCCCTCAGACACTTACGGGTCCCTGTGGGAGCAGGGCTAGCAGTGGGGTTAAGCGAGAAGGCTGTCGGCTTGATCCAGCTCTGGCGCGATGGAGGCTCTTGTAGTGGGAGCCTGGTACCCGGTATAAGCAGCCCTCATGGGGAGATGCTGTCCTGGGAAGGATGACCAGGGAGGGGCAGAGGTGGGGATAGAAGTGATGCCAGGCCCCAAGAAACGGGGTGGGCCCCCTCCTGGGCTCCCCAACCGGGCTAAGCTACTTTGTGGGCCAAGGCAGCTGACAGAGGTCACCCAGCCCTAGCCGCCCCACTTCCCTCACTGTGCCCCATGCCTCACCCCTCAGGCCCACCTCAGAGGAAGCACTCAAGTGGGGCGAGTCCTTGGAGAAGCTGCTGGTCCACAAATGTAAGTGGGGGCCAGCCGGCCTGTTCCCTCCCTCTGTCTCTCCCCCCTCCTCCTTTCCTCCTCTCCCAGGCCCAGGGAGTGCGTCTGGCTCTGCAGAGGTTACCTTTCCCTCTTTCCTGGGCCCAGTTAGGTGTCCCTACCATTGGGAAAGGCCGAGGCCCTTGGTCTGGCCTTGGAGCCGGCTGCTGCCAGCCCCTCCCTGTCCATGGGAGCTGGCACTGCCTGCCAGAGGCCGTTGGGACCTGTGTGCTCAGACCCATATTCCCAGAATAACAATAAACATTTCCATGTACTGAGGGCTTACACTGGGCCAAATGCGCCTGCCATCTCGTGGGTGGGAACCCCTCTGATCCTCACAGGGCTCCAGGGAATAAGGCTGATGATCCCCATTTGACAGATGAGGAAACTGAGGCACAGATGGGGAGTGACCTGGCCAAGGCCCACAAAGAGGCAGTGGCAGCGGTGGGACCGTATCCCAGGGTTCCTGGCTCTCATGAGTGGGTCGGTTTACTAAGATCCCAGCAGCTGCACCTGAGAGGCCCCAGGAGGGTAAGCTGGGGGGCCTGAGGACAGGAGGGGCTGGTTTGGCCTCTCACCCCAGGATCTGGGCTTCTCCTACAGATGGGCTAGCAGTGTTCCAAGCCTTCCTCCGCACTGAGTTTAGTGAGGAGAACCTGGAATTCTGGCTGGCATGCGAGGACTTCAAGAAGGTCAAGTCACAGTCCAAGATGGCGGCCAAGGCCAAGAAGATCTTCGCTGAGTACATCGCGATCCAGGCGTGCAAGGAGGTAGGGCTTTGCGCTGGGCCCTCGGGCCCCCATCCCCATGCCCATGGGGTGCCTGGAAGCCTCACAGAGGAGCTCGGGAAGGGGAAGGGCCAGAGTGACTCTTGGGACCATGTGCCAGGTTGAAGAGGAAGCAGGCTGGGGCCCTGGGAAGAACAGAATCCTGACTGATAACAAAAATGGCCACTGTCGATGTGCTGCTGGGTGCCAGGCACATGCTAAGCCCTTCACGTACGAGCTCTCACATTTAACCCTCATGACAACGTGTAAAATAAGTTTTAATATTACTTTCATTTTAAAAATGAGGAGACAGTCTCGGAGAGCCTAGCAGGTATTGAGTGCTTCCTGTGAGCCAGCTGTGTCTGTTTAATGTGGACGATCAATGCTTAATTTTCACAACTCTTTGAGGAATGTACTATTTTTTTTTTAATTTTTACAATTAATTTTATTTATTTATTTATTGGCTGTGTTGGGTCTTCGTTGTGGTGCGCGGGCTTCTTATTGCCGTGGCTTCTCTTGTTGTGGAGCACGGGCTCTAGGCCCGTGGGCTTCAGTGGTTGCAGCATGCAGGCTCAGTAGTTGCGGCACGTGGGCTCTAGGACGCATGGGCTTCAGTCGTTGTGGTGCAGAGGCTTAGTTGCTCCGCAGCGTGTGAGATCTTCCTGGACCAGGGACCAAACCCGTGTCCCCTGCGTCGGCAGGCGGATTCTTAACCACTGTGCCACCGGGGAAGTCTGAGGAATGTACTATTATGCTGCCGTATACGTAAGACGTTTGAGACTCAGAGCACTTAAGTGATTTGCTTAAGGTCATACACCTAGATGTGGCACTGCTGGGATTTGAACTTGGGCAGCCTGACCCTAGAGGCAGTGATTTTGGGCCCTATAAACTCTACTACCCCTACGGTAAGTGACCGAGCCAGGACTTGACTCCGCTAACCTGCGGGCCTCCCGTCTGAACCTTACGATGTGGAGCAGAAGGGCTTGGGGGTGAGAGGCTGGGCAGGTCCTGTCCCGGCCCCTGGCCCCTAGGAGCAGCTTCTTGCAGGCAGCCTTGACCATGTCACCCTCTGCCTCCCAGGTAAACCTGGACTCGTACACACGGGAGCACACCAAGGACAACCTGCAGAGCGTCACGCGGGGCTGCTTCGATCTGGCGCAGAAGCGCATCTTCGGGCTCATGGAGAAGGACTCGTACCCACGCTTCCTGCGCTCAGACCTCTACCTGGACCTCATTAACCAGAAGAAGATGAGTCCCCCGCTTTAGGGGCCACTGGGGTAGAGCTCAGCGTTCACACCAGGCGGGCTGGGCCCCTCCCCACCTGCCTCCCTACCCCCTGCGACAGAGGAGGCAAGTGAGCCCCCAGAGGCTGTGTCCGGACAGACAGACGGACGTTTGGATGAGAGGCCTGGACCAAGAGTGGCCCAGGCCACTGGAGGAGTAGAGGGACTGGCCCCGTTGGGCCCCCACTGCCCTGGTACGAGGGGGCCCAAGGGCCCTGGCAGGTTAGGGGCCCTGGCTGAGCCAGATCTGGAGCTGCTGCTTCCTGCTGCGGAGACTTCGCAATGACCAAGTTCCTTAAAGAACTGGCTGATGGGCAGGGGGCCGAGGCCTGGGCCCTGGGGCTCTCCAGGGGGAGGTCACTCGGACTCATAGCTCAGACCCCCGCCTTGAGTTTTATTTATTTAAGCAGCAGTTGGATGCTTGGCACCTCGTCCTGTAATAGGAAACCTTTGCCTCATCAGTTTTCCTAATTTACAAGTGCAATATTTTAACCAACGCCTTGTGAAAAGCCACCTTGCGAAGAAGGTGGGCACCATTTTCCAGTTTCAGGGGATCTGCTGGTCCCGAGCCCCAGTGGCGGATAGCTGGGCCTGCTGGACTGACAAGGCCCAGAGGGGCGGGGACTGCAGTCTGACCTCACACCAAAATCCAGCACCCCTGAGTGAGGGGTGCCCCGGGGCCTCTGAGAAAGCATGGCACCCTCAGACCACACAGCGGCCGAGTTCAGGAGCAAATAAAAGCCCTGTGTTATTTTTTGTTCTTGACCCTTTCTGTGTGTTCCTGGTTTCAAGGCTTCCCAGGGTGACTGGGGCTGGGACGGTTGCTGGGTGGGCTGCCAATCCCGCTTCCTCTCCTCTCTTGCCATCACCTGCCGACAACTGCCTTCTCTGTGCCAGGTGCTCTGCCAGGCTTGTTCTACTTACCATCTCATCTTCACTGCGAGCCTGGGAGGTGGGGGTTATCCCCGTCTTACACATGAGGCAGGTGAAGCCCAGGCAGGTAAGGTGGCTTGTCCAAGGTCACACAGCCGGCAAGTGGCAGAGACAGGGTTCAGCCTAAGGCCACCTGGCTGCAAAGCCTGCTCTCTGGATTGTCGTCCTCTACCAGCTACTGGATGGAGTCCTAGCTGGGCTGCTAACTGGCTCCGTGACCTTCAGCAAGTTCCTTCACTTCTCTGCCCTGCCACACCCTGAGATTCTAGTGGAACTTTCAGGTAGCACAGGGATGATTGGTGGAGGTGGATGGGGCCAGAATCTCAGGCAGGGTGGCAGCTGCAGGCAGGCAGGCTCATGGAGGCCTTTAGGACAGAGGAAGAGCTGGGGAGGTCGGGATGGGGGGTAGGGTTCCCAGAGAGTCCCTCTGTGGCCCTGGGGGAGACTTCCCCCTCTGTGCCTAACAGGAGATACAAATTTAGGAAAGGCCTTGTTCGAAGCCACAGTTCAGAGGAGGCCCTGGACCCCCTCACTTAGAGGGGTAGAAGAGAGCTTGGCCAAGCTGATGCAAAAGCTGCCCCTGATGCCCACACGTTCCACCTGCCAGGGTCCGGAGGCAGGGACCCAGGGGCGGGGACTGGCTCAGCTGGGCTGACTTAGATGAAGGCAGACAGAGTGGGTGCAGGAGGGGCTGGGCCCCATCTCCTTGGAGCTTGTTGCCTGCGTGGGGTCTTGGGTTCAGGTCTGCCCACCGGGACTTGGAGATGCAAAGGATACGGGGCTGTGCAGCCACTCTGCTCCCTGCCTTCCCTTGCTGGTCTCCCTGAGCAAGGCCAGCCCCAGGTTCCCCCCTGTAGAAGGAGAGCATCAGAAACGGTGGTCTCTGGGGCCAGGCATACCATAGGTGCTTAATAGGTGTTACAGCCTTTTCCCCTAGCACCAGTGTGTGAGCTTCTCCAGGAGTGGGGCTGGGTCTTCTTCCAGGCACCAAGGGCCTGGCAGTGGACCTGGCCATTGAGCCCTCTTTGGCTTTGTAAATGGTGAAGGGCTTTCTCACGGCAGAGCTGCCAGTGCCTCAATGACTCTGGAAGGACGGGGGACAGAGATGTGCTCCTCGATCAGACTGAGAGAACTTCTCAGGTGTCCAAGCCTGAGATTTGGGGACCTAACAGCTGGAAAAAGCAAAGCCCACAGAGGACTGCAACACAACTCCTGTTCCCCAAAATGGTAGCAGCAGAGCTGACGTCAGTGCCTGGGATTTCCGGGTCCCAGCCCGCCTGGCCTCGCTGTGGTATCCTCTGCTTGGAGGAGACACTGGGCCATCGAGCAGACTCACCTTCCCCTTTCTTTAGGTTCCAGGGATTCAGCCTCGGGCCAGGCCCTCCACCTTCCCATTCCCAAGTTACCATGGAAACCACCATCCAGGAGAACCAAGTCAGGCAGATGGAATTCCCATTTCGGAAGGCCCCACTGCCTGGTTTCCATTACTCACACGTGGGGCCCTTGGCCTCCAAGCTGCTTTGGCTACACTGAACAGCTGGAGAGCAGCCTGGAAAGGCGCCTGGATCCGCCTGCCCTAACCCCGCCTGGGCTCCTGGGGGCCTTAGGCACAGCCCTCGCCGCCTTAGGCCACAGTCCCCTTACCTGTATGTCATCTGGACTGCTCCCCATTTCTTCTTTCATACGTGAGGGAGGAGCAGGCCCCTTGGTCTCCATCTGGCAATCCCAGGCTGGTCGATGTGGGATCTGGGAGCTGTGAGGTCAGCATGTCCAGCTCCCTTCCCAACTCACAGATGGGAAGACTGAGGCAGAGGTAGGCAAACAGCACTGTGTAAAGGTGCAAGGCCCAGGCCCTGGAGTCAGGCTCTAGGATTCAGCCCTTGGTTTCACCACTTACTACTAGCTACAAATCTTTGGGGAAAAAAAAAAATCTTGTAGCCTCTCTGCCTCAGTTTTCTCATCTATAAATTGTGCATATTGGCACCTACCTCAGAGTCACAGTGGCTCAGCGAGGTTGTTTGCAGCAAGTTTAGCTCAGTGCCTGGCACAGGGACGTGCTCCTCCAACACGAGAGGCCGTCAGCCACATCATTTTCAGGGTCACGGGGAGGCTGCAAAGCTCATTCTCTACCCTGATTAGTGGACAGGGAGCCTTTAGTCTCAGACCCCAGATCCCTGTCCTTCCAGGAATGGTTTTGCTGGAGGACAAAGCCAGCCTGTTCCGGGGAGTAAGTTAGAAACAGTCTGTCCCTGAACCACTGCCCAGTCTTGGCCTGGCTGCGAGCAGTTGGGGTCAGCTGGCAAATACGGTGTGAAGGGTGGAAAGGGGAGAGGGCACAGTGATGCCACTTGGTTGGGTGCCAGTGGGAGGAGATTCAGCACTGGCCTGCCTGTGGCAACTTCAGCCGTTGCTCTATGGACCAGTCAAGTCCCTCATGCTCTTGGCCTCTTGGCCTGGCTGGGGGCAGATATGGCCTCCCAGACTCTCCAGCATGGAAGAGACCATCTGGATCCAACTGCTGCCTGGTGCTTGGGTCCCTTCTTGGGTTTCTACTTGCATCCCTCCTGTGACGGGGAGCTTAATACCTCCTGAGGCAGCTCAGGAGGGCCTGGGAGCCTCTTGGGGGTTCTAAAGTTCTTCCCTGGTGAAGTTGGGATCCTGGGGTGGGGTGGGGCAAGGGAGGCAGGTCAGCAGTAGCCCCCACAGGCCTCCTGCCCAGGCAGCCCCCCAGAGGCTTGCCCAGTTCTCCCACTCCGCTCCTCCCTGCTCCCACCAGACTCCCCCGAGCCCCCTACCCCCACCTCCCTGCCTTACTCCCCCTGGACCCTTTGCCTAATGTCTCCTCCCTGCATCCCTCCCGCTGACATCCTACCCTAGAAAGTCTCCGATTCACCTCTCTTCCTGCCGAAGCCTGCCCTTCGCCCCTGCCTCTCCCTCAGTGCTCTCAGGCCCTCAAGCAACAGACCCTGGGCCTCAGAGAAGACGCTCCTGTGCTGTTGTTTTGCTTATAATCTGCAACATCTGTGAAACATCTGGCTTTGCCTGTCCTCTCCCTGGCTGGGTCAGGCAGGAGGGAAGGGGGTACCCTGGGCCCCCTGCTGCCGGGGGACCCCTCCCTTGGGTTGGAGGAGACAAGGGGGTGCGGGGGGGCGGCGCGGAGGGGGTTGAGGAAGAGCCGTGGGGTTGATCTGGGCCTGCTCAGCACGATGGGAGTGAAGGCATAGCTGGGGCTGGGAGAGGGCAGTGCCAGGTTGCAGATAAAAAGTGAGCGATGGCTGTGGCTGCACACCAAGGGCATTCCATGCCTCATCTCCACCAGGCCTCACAACAGGCCTGGAGAGGGTCTGAGTATTGTTTTCATTTTACAAGTGAGAAAGTTAAGGTTCAGAGAGAGTGGACAAGTATGTGGTGGCTGAGTAGGAACTGGGACCCCAGCCCTAACTCCCAGGCAGCCTCGCCTCCAGGCAGCCTGAGAGATTTGGTGGCTTGGTTCGGGGGCGCTTAACTCAGATTCTCCTTGGCTTGAGGGCAGAGCTTGTCTCAGGAAGGTCAACGAATGGCGGGAGCTTAAGTGTGTGGGGATATCTGGTCCTGAATGTCAGCTCTCAGTAGGCCTGTGTGAGAAGTTGCTTTACCTTTCCGACATTCAGTCATCTCATCTATAAAATGGGAATCATAATCCCACCTCACGGGACTCTCGTGGACTCAGTGAGATAATGAATATGTGTAAACCCTCAGCACAGGGTCGGCCACGGAGGGCGGCCCACGTCGGGGTGGAGGGAGGGAGGGAGGCCTGGGGCTGCGACCGAGGTATCCAAGAGGTGAGGTCAGGCCCAGCCCCACCAGCTGTGCAGGGGGAGGTGGCCCCAACCTCTACTCCACAGCCAGTTTTTAACTAGATGGCTGGTGACTCAAAACAAGGGCAAGGCCCCAAGAGGATGGCGTTGGGCCCCAGGCCCCAGTGGGCTCAGCGGAGTCCTACCTGCCGTTTCAGGGGCAACTGAATAGCACGGATTCTGCCAGGCAGCTGCCCTAACCTCCAGATCTGTCCCCAGCTCTCCAGTGACCTTGGATGAGGCCCCTCCCCTCTCCTGTTGTTTTCTTCTGGTTTTCCTCCTGTCTGAGGACCTTCCGAAGGGGCAGAGGGCGCTTTGTGTGATGTGCGGGCTGGGATTCAGGCCATGTGTGTTGGTGTATGTGGGGTGTGAGGGCAGATTAGATGTCACTTCCTCAGGGAAGCCTTCCCTGATAGCCCTGACTAGAGGAGGGCCCTGCTTCCTGCTCACAAAGTGCCTTGTGCCTCTCTTTCATGGCCCTTGTTATAGATGGTAATTACTTATACATATGCGTTCACTTCATTGCTGTCTTTTCCTCTCAACTATAAAGCCTTTGAGGGTAGGGGCCACGTCTGTGTTGCTTCTTACTGTTTTCCCAGCATTATTACATTGCCTGACACATAGTAAGTGCTTAGTAAATACTTACTCAGTGGATGGGAAGCATATAGTAGTCCTTAGCATGGTTAGTAGTTACACAAAATAAACACATGAAAACAGGTAAGAAGCTACTGTATAAGTAAAGATTGTGTTCTGTTGTGAGCGACAGAAAACATAAGATAGAAGTTTGTAGCCTCTCTCACATAAAGGAAATTGATATATACCAGGGCTAGTACGGCATCTCCATGATCATCAGGAACCTAATTCCTTCTATTTGGTTGCTTTGCCATCCTCATATTGGAACTTCCACTTCATGTCCACAACGGCTGCTTGAGTTCCAGCCATCACTTCTGCATGTGGGAAGAGTGAACGGGTAAGAAAGAGAGGGCGAAAGGTGGATGTCA